GTGAGATTTAGCACAACCTGAATATTGAATCTAATAAAAGGGTGCTTTGTCAAGGTTCTCTTGGTTCCAATTAAAACTGGTATAATCAAAATAGGAAATGATTAGGACAGAGGAGTATTTCATGCAACACAAGGCAGGTTGACCTTACTAGGAACTGAGACCACCCACTCGTTCATTTTCTTTGGGTCCTACATGGTTCCTCTTCACTGCTTCTCTCTGCATATTGATTTCATTCCTTTATTCTCTGCAGTTTGTTTTCTTTGCATCTCTGCACACACCCCCAAAGCCTCATAGTTTATGCGGTTTTACTACTAGCTACATGCAGAGACCAATTCTAAATTAATGGACAGTAGGAACAGAGAGGCCTAGCTTAAGGCAGCATCATCTCTGCTCTAATCACCTCTGACCAGGGATGCAAGCTCATGTGGTGCAAATATGGCTGCCTGCCAAATCCTCTATTGTTCTCAGAGAAATCAGTATGGGTGGAGCATAAACGCCAAAACAAATCAATTACATCTATAAGTCAGGTTTCTACTCTCTCTCATACCTGCACCGTCTTAATAAGCATGCAGTTATGAATAAATGGCAAGACTAGGAAGATTCAACTGTTGGATCTCCTTTTCCTGTAGATAATTTTCCCTCAATCCTTACTCTGACTTTAACTTTGTATTTCCATAAATTGTAAACAATTCTAAAAATGCTCCATTTCTAAATAGATAATATGCAAAACATTCCAAGTAGATAAATGCATGGAATTTACACTCATAAATCAAAACCAACCCAACTTTAGGAAAACAGCATGTCACATCCAAACAGCACAAGAGTCAAATAAGTCTTAATGAAGCCAAACACTGCTTTGGTTTGTATGGCCATAAGAAGTCTTAACTGTTGCATCAAATTTTTAGGGCATTTCTGATTTGAAGATGTTATGCAATCATGGGCAGCAGTAGCTTGCTGTTTTTCATATCATACTTGAATTTCCTGAAGCTTAAATGTCTGGCTAAATATGTACCAATGTTTATTAACTTTCTGAGACTGATGGGGAGAAATGTAATATTTTCCAAGCCTGAAAGGATGGGGGAAACTAACCCAAAGTATCTTATGTCTTGAAAGTTGGCTGGGAAGATATGTGCTAAATATTGAGGTATGCACAGAGAAAGAATCTGAGCAATGGATTTTCCACAATTCTGCATCATTAAGAAGCATTTAAAAATATTGAGGTCTTCTGAAAATATATATGGAACATTATGCCTTGATAACAAAAAACAAACAAAAACCCATTGCCAATGAGTCATTTCCAATTCACAGAGATCCCATGTGTTAGAAAGTAGAATCACTCCACAGGGTTTTCTTGGCTGTAAACTTAACAGAAACAGACCTCCAGGTCTTTCTTCTGTGGCACCACTAGGTGGGTTCAAATGCCAACCTTTAGGTTAGTAGCTGAGTGCAAACTGTTTCTGCTACCCAAGGACCTTATGCCTCCATAAGAACTTCTAACTTAGGTCAAATTTATGCCACATTTGTTCCAATGGTGAACAGCATTTGTAGCTTGGAGTAGAACAAGAAACATAATTTTCATTATCATAAATGTTAAATGTTTTATTACAACTTCTTGTTTTGTTTCTTTCAGACATACCACACATCTCAAAAGGCTACACAGCAATAATAGCTAGATAATGTCTAAGAAGAGTCCCTGGATGGTGCAAATGGTTAGCACGCTTGGCTGCTAATGTAAGGTTGGAGGTTTAAGTCCACCCAGAGGCACCTCAGAAGAAAGGCCTGGAAATCTACTTCTGAAAAATCAGCCATTGAAAACAGTATAGAGCACAGTTCTACTCTGACACACATGGATGGGGTCACCATGAGTTGGAATCGACTCAAAGGCAGCTGGTGGTTAATATCTAAAAAGAATCACTTAAAAGTTAAAAATTGGAAAACTTGTTCTTTATATCAAGAGTTACCACATTACCACTGACTTACTCTCCAAAAATGCTTTGACACAGCTAAAGTTTGCCTGGAAGAGGTTGCCAAGTGTGATAACACACAGTATCAAAGACCAGCAAAGTAGTGCTTCTTCTCTGGTTAACCCTTAACAACTCATCATTCACAATAGTGTTTCCTGCTCAGGATTAAAACAAGCCATTTCTCGTCACTCTTTCTTGAGAACTATATTTCTATACAAAATTTAAAGGAATATAGATTGATATCCGTATCTTTAACTTTATGATGATACATTCAAACAGACTGAGGGGCAGTCTTCAGTACAATCATCACATATATGTAATGTTTTAAGTTTGACTCCATGGCTCCCTGCCTCTCATCCATAGTGTAAGAAATGCCTTCAGATCACAGAGACACATCTTCACCCATGCAAAAGTTTGCATTTCATTTTTACTTTTGAGATACTGTTTTCTTAATTAATCATTGTCACATGCAGAGATTGAAGTATTCAAGATTTCTGGTGGCTTGATGACATGATCTTCCAGAACTTGTTCCAAGTTTCTTTTATAATCATTATTTCTATGAAGTCATTCAACTTGGAAATAATTGCTTGCCAAAACTGAAGTTCTCTGGTGAACAACTCAACACAGCTTTAGTTTTACAAAGAAACCATTCTTTGTGTGCTGTTAATCTTGGCTTAGAAACACCACATATTATCCTTCCCACTTGAACAGTTCAGCCCCTGTTCTCTTATACTTTGGAACCATTAGACTTACTTCTAGAATATAAATGTGTGAGTCACCTAGCTGGTGACTCTTTGAAAACAGATTTTCCAAGTAGAGATATATGGACCCTCTCTGCTCAGGACAATGTGTTAGTCGTCAAAAAATGTGAGGACTTCCTAACCACATTCTCCAAACCTGCCTTCTAGATTTAAAAAAAAAAAAAAAAAGCATTTTATTACATGGGGTTTTGTTATTTAGTCTGATTTTAACTTATTGGGATTAAGTAGCTAAATTATTCAGTTCCAATACTTGACAGAAAAGTTAAACTACTTTAATTAGTGCTTCCTATGAAAAGATTACAAAGCCCTTCATTTTAAATTTTTGCTCTTTTAATCTTATTTTGTTTGAGGCTGCATTTCCGAAAATTAAAAAAAAAATTCATAACAGCAACATTTGATTTAAAAAAAAATCCAGGCATTCAGTAGATTAGTCTACAAGATACAAAATAATTTCGTCATCAATTTATTTTCTAACAAAAGTGACTTAAAAGCCATCAAAATGAAACACTGACATAGCACGGGCTTGACTTAATAAAACAAACTGCTAACCTGTTTCATATTCACAATGAAACCTCTCCACGTCTTCCAAATCCAAAGAAACTGGGTCATGGATAATTACCAGGCAGGACATGTTTGTAAAAGTATTTTGCTCCTGAGAATGCTGTATAAAAATCAAAATACTTACACTGAAAATACAGCAAATGAATGATGCTACTACCCCCACTGAATTAGATATAAGGCCACATTGAAAAGGCTGATTTCTAAAGTCAGTCAGAAAAGTTGTGACAATGCTAGAATTTATAATTGTTAAATATGCATACTCTTAAAAGTTTGATATTAAACTTATCATAGACTGAGAGGTGATTTACAATGTATTCTTTTTAGCAGAAAAAAATACTCTGAACCTCTTAAAATTTGAAGGTTCATATGATAAATGAAAGGAAGAATGTCTCCATGACAAAAAATAGATCTTTCATTTTCAAACTGATTTTATCAACACAAGAAGGCTTACAAATGGTTCAATTACATGATTGCATTTATACCTTCAATAAATTCTTCTGGTAAACATACAAGTGAATTTTATTGTATGTATAATTCAAAATGCTTTCTAAAAATGCACATCATTTATATACACTAAAGGGTTTCTGATGGGGAATCCTGACCTAACCTTAATTTTATGAATTTCTTTACACGCACACACGCTCTCTCTGAAAATTTAGTCTCTTAAAACATTAGAAGTGAGGAAAGCTAGCTTAAACATACCTTGCAAACACTGAAAACTAAAAAACCAATATCAAACCCTTTTGCTACTCCTGTTTCTCATCTTTGTATTTAGAAAGTAGGAGAAATAATAGTCTGGAGCCCTGGTGGTGCAGTGGTTAAGAGCTATATAGCAAGCTACGGCTGCTAACCAAAAGGTCGGTAGTTCGAATCTACTAGCCTCTCCTAGGAAACTCAATGGAGCAGTTCTACTCTGTCCTATAGGGTCGTTATGAGTCAAAATCGACTTGACAGCAATTTTTTTTTAAATACTGTATCTCCTTTCTGTGGATTTTAAAACAGTAAAACAGATGGAGCACAAAGCATTTTTAGGGCAGTGACACTACTCTGCATGATACTGTAATGGTGGACACATGACATTACCCATTTGTCAAAACCTATAGGGCTGTACAATGCAGAGTGAATCCTAATGTAAACTATGGACATTGCTTAATAATGATGTATGGTGCTCATCAGTTGTAACAAATGTACCACAGGAGTGCAAGACATTAATAATAAGAGAAACTGTGCAGGGGAGAGGGGATATATGGGAACTCTATACTCACTGCACACTTCTTCTGTAAACCTAAAACTGTTGTGAAAAGTAAAGTAGAAGAGACATTTAATATTATTCCTCTCTTTTATCACTGATTGTTCATATAACTCAGTTGCAGAGGATAGAAAGGTTCTTCAGAGAGAACTTGAAATAAAAGATAGTTTAAGACAAAAACAAAATAAGCATGTCATATTAAGCAGTATTTCCTGAATCCTTGGATACTGCAGACAGTTGTGCACTCAGCTACTAACGAAAAGTGAGGAGCTTCGAACCCACCCAGAGTTGCCTTGGAAGAAAGGCCTGGTGAACGACTTCCAAAAAATCAGCCACTGAACATGGTGTTTTCTAAATAATATATATTTTAAAGGAGAAAATGAACCGATGACATGTAATTTAGAAGCCTTGTCTAAAGGGTTTACACAGCAGAAAAGACACAAAATCTAGCCGCATCAGTGAAACCACTTTTATTTTTATTTTGTCCACATAGGTAACTTCATGTCAGCTACAAAAATCATGAAATGAAGAACTGATTGTGAAACTGCAAACTCAAAACCAGTGGAGTGATAAACAGGTTTCCTCTAGATGACTGTTAAAAAAAAAAATAACCAGGATATCATGAATTCATATTTAAGTAGTAAACATGTCATATATTTAAAAATAATAAATATAGAACAGCAGTAGAGGAACTAATAGCATAAACAGCATGAAGTATATTTTATTTAAGACAGATGAAATTTCTAGGCACAGTTTTAGGCATTAAAGAGGACACAAAGGCATAGGTTAGTGTGTGCTGCTCTGTACAAAAATACAGTCTGAATAAATTACATTGCTAGCCATATGATTAGACGTCACTTACCAGTTAGTTCATTGCATGTTTAATAATATACAGGTACATGCTAATCCATATATATCATTTATATTTCAAACACATAAGTCTCTCTATATTTATGTCTTTAAAATTTACACGTTGAACTTACAAAAAGCTAAATAGTTGTGCAAGAAATCCAAATAACTAGCCCTGCTGTGTACTTTATGCTATATGTGTGTATGTGTATGTGTGTGTATACACACATATATGATAAACAATGGGTTTGTGGTTAACAATTTTGCTTGTAAGAAAACATCAGATAACCTAAAGCTGCAAAGAGATAATATTAATGTAGGTGAATAATTCACTTGTATTTATTGTGATAGACAAAACAGCAACAAATTCCCTGTTGAACTGAGCTTGTTAGTAATGAAACACTTTCAAATATTAGTGGAGATAGCAATAGAGCACAGAGCTCTTCACTGGGAAGGGGAAAAAAAGTCATATAAGAAATCTACTTTCCAGTAAACTGCAAATATGTGTGCCTTAACCTGTAACACATTCTGTCACTTCTCAGCTTGTCATACTGATAGAGAATGAAAATTTGATAAGTCTCAAGGTATGAGATTGGTCTAACAGCACACTGCATCCTCTCCTAGGACTAAGAAAAGTGCCTCATTGATGTCAGCACCAAAGTACTGTCCTCCATTATTCAGGAATAAAGAGATCCTCTCACAACTGAGGGTGTTTAGTAGACGAAATCGCTATCCAAATATCGTATTTCTCATGCTGCTCTGACAATATGAAATTAACTGCAAGACAGTCTGCCTCGGATTTTACTATTTCTCAAGAAAATTGCTTCAAAAGATTCTATAATACTTATTTCTTTCTGGAAAAGTTCCACTCTTCATTTCTTATAATCCTTTATTGAATCATATACTTCTATAAAGATTTCTATCTAGAATGCATTTAATCACTTTTGCTTAGCATTGCTAAAATAAGAATAAGCCTGGTACTTCGTATTTACTTTGTGATTCTATAGAAAATTCACAAGATTTTGTTTTTAGTATTTGAGTAATAAAATAAAGTGTTTTTAATTTATTATTATTATTTTTGCTGTTGTTTTTGGCAACAGTTCTTAAGACAAGCTGAAAGCTTTGGGAGGTAAAGCAAATTATTAAATACTGTTGATGTGGACCTGCTCTTAATGGAGTCTGCAATACAATAAATAGCATATAGGTGCATTTTAAATGACTTCTCCAAGGCGTCTTTCTGCAAGAGGGCCAAAACCAGGATACACTGTTTTCATTTCTTTGTTAACAAAAATAACTATTTATAACCTTTGTATTAGAACTGTATATTAGATATAAAAATATGTTTATAATTAAACTATCCAAATTTGAATATGAAACAGAATTAACACAAGTTTGCAGTGTGACATTAGTTGCAAACTTATTCTCTGTCATTCTGACATTTCTTTCCATTTGAACAGTTAGCAAAAGAGTCCCTTAATGTAAATGCATCATAATTGTGTGCACAGGTCAGCCCATCAGTTAACTTTAGAGGACCAGGTGATAATCAGATGAATTCTACTCCTCTACCGAGATATTTATAAAAATCTATCTCTATTCTCTCTCTTTTTAAATGACATTTAGAATACTTGAAAAAAAAAAGCCTCCTATTTTAGTGAATTTTAAACAAAATGATCATACTAATTGCTATTCTCTTTTGAACTACAGTGCTTACAGAAGAATCATTCATTTTCAGCTTAATACTATTTCAATTTGTCTTTTTATGAAATTCTATTAAAACTTTCCAGTGAAACAGTAGAGAACAAGGACCAAAAGCTTCAAGGTCTATGTACCTTTGTATGGCAAATAAGTGTGAATACCAATCTAAGCGGCTTAACAACATGTACAAAGTTAGTGTTCAAACAACTTCACTAGAGCAAATATAAATTTTATGTGTAACAGGCGGATGTATGAGTAGGGCTAAGGAACAACTTATTACCATTTATGCTAATGGTTCACCTTCTATAAAAATAGTTAAGCTCATTACATATGCACAATTGTTTGTGGCAATGTTTGGTAAATGATTGAAAGGGTACTTAGGACAGAAGCAACTCATGCAAGTTTCTTTCTAGTTGCCCCAGGGAAAGCAGAGACTCTCAATTTTCCCCCATTCTAGATATGGCTGAGGCAAAATTTCTAACCACATAATGAAAAGCACATGTCTTCACGTCTTGACTCCCTTCCCACGGAGATGCTGATTGCCAAAGCATAAACTCCCGTTAAAAAGAGTATTCTTGAAGGCGGAATGTGTACCATTAACCAGTTACATTCACAACTCCTGTTTGATGCTGAAGGGCAGCTGACTTTTCAGGAGCTCACTCAAGCAAATAACCAACAGCCAAAGCAGTCACTGGGTGGTATAAGCAGGCGATGAGGACTCTAATAGTGGAATCCTTGTCAGCGCAAAGGAACTTCTAAATGTTGCTTATGCCAGCTGCTCCCCTGCAGGTAATAGGAGATCCAGGCATTTCTCACTCCAACTAGTTTATCACAATGGTTGCTGTCATATAGACCCTTTACTTGTCAAAAAAAAAAAATTACATGAACATACTGGAAGTTTGTAGCATTGCCTATGTCTAATCAGCTCTCTTAATTTGTGCAGGTCCCTAAAATGGATGTAAAAGCTGGTTATGATGTTGACAGCCGAAAGGCAAAGGATATTAAATCAACTGAGCAAACTGCTGGATGCTCCACAAGTGTTTTAGAAAATACTGAGTTAGAAAAGATGTAGGCGTAATCCTTTTGTTGGATGGTTGGTTGTATTTTTTTAAATTTGAGACTATTGGTTCTAGTAGTAGTCTTCGTAGTTCTTAGGGTTCAGGCAATAAAGGATGGCACCCCCAAACGAAAATATAGTTGCACCCCAGGCCAGGCCATAACCCCAATTGAACTCATGGTAAATTTTCAAGCTCACAGTTTCAATGAACTTGATGGGGTAAAGGACCAGGCTGCAAACCTGTAAAACAACTGAAAGAAAAGCAAATCAAAATTAGAAAAATACTACTTATAGGAAATTAAATTACATAAACATACACATATACATAATTATGAAAATTGCTTTTAATTAAATACACATAAAACCCAAAAATTTAGAAGCTCTGCTTATTCTAGATAGTATACTTTAAAATGAACAATTCTTTGTTTAAACAGTCTTTCAAATATAGTAACAATTACCCTATTAATAATTAGTGAATCACTATATTAGTATTTGGTGAAATAAGCACTGCAATATAATAATTTATATGAGCATATAAAGTAGCGACTCTCACCCTTGGTTTTTATACTGTTACTTACACTCTGAAGACATACTTATCTCAAGGTGCATCATGAAATGATACAAAGCAATGAGTTTATTTCACTTTGATTTAAAAAAATATATAATCATCACTATTTTGGCAAGTAGTATTAGATAAGTTTAAACTGTTCAAATATACAAAACCTGTAAACAGCTCCCCAACACTGTTGACCCCAATATCAACTGAAATCCTTCTTTATTTATGCTTTCGAGGGATGGGGGAATTCAAATTCATTCGTATCAAGGAAACTGGTTGTTGCTTCTCAATATCATCTAACTTAGCCCAATATTCCAACAAGCCTTACCTTGATGTCTTTGCTTATATTACTTTGATACAAAACTACTTTCATTCTTTTCCTCTCATCCAGTTCACACCTCTCATATTCAAAGAGGCTCAAAAGACTCCATCAGGAAGCTACACTCAATTTTTACCTTTCTGTTACATATAACTTGTATATACAGTTTACATTCATATAATATTTCAAAAGAGAATTAAGTCAATGAAGGCATGGGAGATAATGGTACTGGAAAATCTAGGCTAATAATGGCTACTATGTTGTTGTTATGGAGCCTTGATGGAGCAATGGTTATGGGCTCGGCTGCTAACTGCAAGGTCAGTGGCTTGAACTCACCACCCGTGGGACGAAACACCTAGAGATCTGCTCCTTAAAGATAGATTACATCCTAGAAAACCTTATGGGCCAGATCCACTCTGTCATTTAGGGTCCAGATGAGTCTGAATTGACTTGACACATACAACAACATGTTGTTGTTGGTAGTTGCTGTCAAGTCTGACTCATGGCGACCCCACGTGTGCAGAGTAGAACTGCTCCATAGGGTTTTCAAGGCTGTGACCTTCAGAAGCAGATCGCCAGGCTCATCTTCCAAGGCACCTCTGGGTGGGCTCAAACCACCAACCTTTCAGTTAATAGCTGAGTATTTAACCGTTTGTGCCACCCAGGGACTCCTTAATTAAGAGCACAAAACTTAGTTCTTAGTTAGCTTTTAGTTCTCAGAGTCACGGCTAAAGGAGAAATGTGATGAGTCATATCTAATAAAAATAAACCAATTTATCAGGAAGGGCAAGATTTTTTTTAAAATATCTAAAATTAAAGTAGTGTTTATCCTGTGGATAGTTTTTATATTTGAGGCACTGGACTACACAATGGATATCTTCCATTCAAAATTCATAACTTCCTACTGCATCAGCTATTACATACTCTGTATTATATTGAAATCAATTTAACTAGAATTTATGGGATGCATCTGCCTTGTCCTCTATGTATGATAACTTTGACCCTCAAGAAATATACGATCTTTTCCCTGAAAAATCTGGGGTACAGTTATATATAACAAGGGTTGGCAAACTACCAAACCTGGTCTGCTGCCTGCTTTTGGAAAAAAAAAAAAAAAGTTTTATTGGAACACAGACATGCTCGTTCATTTAGGTACTGTCTGCGCTACAAGGGCAGAGCTGAACAGTTGTGACAGAAACCATATGGCCCACAAGGCCAAAGATATTTACTATCTGCCCTTTACAATGAAAGTTTGCTAACCTTCAATAGATAAATATATGGTTAAAATTATTATTGTTTAAATCATCTTTAAAATACTGTAAATTCCTGTAGTGCAAAAACAACAAAAACGTGAACAATTAAGAAGTAAAAGATAAGAACAAACTTGGATATAGTAAAATGACAGACTTTATTATTTTTTTTTAAAAGAATAATAGGATAGATAGCGTAGTTAATTAAACTGGAAGTTTGTGTTTTAAAATCTATTCTCGAAAGAAGAGATTAAAAAAAATATATTCTCAGCACCAGCAAAAGATTATTTTTCCAATACAACTAATATTCCTAGAAAGCCTATACAACAGTCATCTGTCTCTAGCATAAAACAGCAAATTCATGAGGACATGATGGCTCAAAATCATTACTTTCTCTAAGGCTGTGACTAGGGGTCAAATGATCTATCTGGAACTAGATATAATAATTCTGAACACCTTTGTCATGTAACTCAACACTGCTTCAGGCCAGCAATGACCACCCATACTTCCAGGTTACCACTGAGAGTAGATAGATAAAATAGGTCCATATAAAAGGAGAATCTCTCTACATCCAAAATATAAATCACACCTTGTGTGTAGTTATAAAAGTCTCAGAAAAAAATTTAAGTCATTGTTAGGAGTCAGCTGATGACATATTATAAAACCCACACTTCATCTATTTCCAGCCAGTAAGTCAGTAAGTGTTAAAATATCTACTGATTAAAAAAAAAAATCAACTGACTCTGTGCCTCTGTGAGAGAAAGGGTGCTTTCATGTTTTAAATGTCTTCAAACTAACAAGAAGTCAATTACTATCAACCATGAACTACAGAAAGAAAAAAAAAATCATTCCATAGTTACTAAGTAGGTTAAAAAAAAAAAGGCATTTCCCCTTAGGTTTCTATACTTTGGTCTCTAATCAAATCATGACTGATCCTACCAGGATGTGACTGAAACATGGGAATGAGTTAGGTATAGTAATTCATTTACTCATTCAGCAAATTTTTTCATTCAACAAATATTGAATGTTTGTAAAGTGATAAAGTTGAAGGCATTAGTAACCAAAGAGACAATGTTGCTACCTTCACAGGCAGGCAGTCCATTAATAAAGAAATACAGAATATAATGCCAGGCATTGCTAAGAGACATGAAAATACAATAAAGCAGGAAAGCAAGACAGCGGGAGGTGGGCTGCTGTTTTAGATCCAAGATGGGAGAAGGCCTCTCTAGGGCGGAGGCATTTGCGCACAGACCCGAGCGAGGTGAGGGAAGTAAGCATTCGGGCGAGGGGGGGAACCAGGGTAAACCTCCTGCCACAGGAGCCCATCTGGTGCATGGGAACATCAGTAAACAGAAGATGATGTGGTTGTTGTACGAGACAGCAAGGGAGGGAGCAGCATGAGATAAGATGGGAGAAACAGCCAGGGGCTATTCACAGAAGGCCTTGTGAACCATGTTAAGGAGTCAAGACTTTATTTCTAAGTGATAGGCAGCTGCTCGAGGATTTTGAGTAGAGAAGAAATAACTGAGGTGAATTACATTCTAAAAGCATTACAATGCATTCTTTTGTGATCTCCGCAGTTCCTGAAATGAGGTGTTTACCTAGACTGCTTTTAATATCCATTTCAATGTGTTTTATTTAGCAAATATGGGTGCGTGGCTTTTGTGGCATAACATAATGACATAATTTCCCGGTAGTGGGAAAGGGGAAATATAACCCCATTAGGCTCTACTGGGGTACTCGCCTGAACAGCTTAGAGATAAACCTTCATTGTGCTGTGGTCAGATGAAAACTACCCTAAAGTGCTTTTATGCCTCTGAATTATTTTACTCTCTTCAGAATCACAGAGAAAAATGCATGTAAGAGCAAAATTGAGAGGAAAAAAATAACCCTGCATTTGTAAATAATTTTTTTCCATTTAATAAAATACATAGATCCAGGTAAAAATGTCTCCTTGACTCTCACAGATGCTTCAAAGAAAAAAAAAAAAAATAAGAGTCCAGACCTCAAGAAAATGCCAACATACTACACATACATACACACACACATATATATATATATATATATATATACACCACCAATCAATAAAACATAAAAGGCATTGCCTGTGGCATTCTCCAGAGCCTTTGCGGTGCAGTGGTTAAGAACTCGGCTGCTAATCAAAAGGCTGGCAGTTCGAATTCACCTGTTGCTCCATGGAAACCCTATGGGGGGCAGTTCTATTCTGTCCTATAGAGTTGCTATGAGTTGGAATTGACTCGACAGCAACAGGTTTTTTGTGGAATTCTCCACCTCCGCCTCAGAGACAACACAGGTAAAGTTGTATAGCATTTTAGGATTTGAAGGGAATTTGGGACTCATTTTACCTACCCCTAATATTTTGAAAAGAGGCCACAAAAGTACAGACAATGAAATAGAGTCATGACAGAAACTTAGAGCTATTAATTCCAGTATTATTTCTAGTATACTCGGAGTTTTCATCTAAGGGGATTTTTTTCCCCTCTATACTCAATACTTTCAAGATTGAGATAATCAACGGGGCAGTTCTACTCTGTGCTTGCACAGGGAATTGTTCGGTTCAGACAATAGAAACTTGTCCATTCCTACTCATGGTGACCCCATGTGTTACAGAGAACTGCCCCATGGCGTTTTCTTGGCTGTAATCTTTACAGAAGCAGATTGCCAGGACTTTTCTCCCACTGTACCACTGGGTGAATTCAAACCATCAACCTTTAGGTTAGCAGTTGAGCGCAAACTGTTTGCATTGACTCTACATTTTAAGTCAGATGTTACCATAGAAAAATAAAACAAAGTAGAGAAAGACTGAATTTGGGAACCGAGATATTGTAGCTGATGAACAGCTGTGGCCTCAACTAATAATGGTGGTGTTGGAAAAGTAGACGTAGAAGATAATTTCAAGGCAGAATTAATAGAGCTTAGTACCCAAGCCTCCAAATAGAGAATTTACATAAAGGAAATAAAAATTTGGAGAATAAACACATTTGCCCATAAAGGGTTAATATGAAGCTATACTAAAAGTAGTGTTGTTGTTGTTGTTAGGTGCCGTGGAGTTCATTCCGACTCATAGTGACCCCATGTGACAGAGAATTGCCCCACAGGGTTTCC